CCAACTAATTGGGGAATTCTGGCAAATGGTAAGCGCAAGCGGGTACTCACTTGATGAGCCCGCCGCACTTGCGACCCTTGGCATCGTGGCGCGTAAAGGCGCCGACGGTGACAATGTCGAGGACGCCGCGGCGCTGCAGTGCATCATTTTGGGCCCACATGCGCTGAACGTGCAGATTGACGGGCAGAAACTCGAGGGCCTCGTCCGTTTTGGCCGCGGAGCGTTTGTAGTGAACGCCGTCGCGCATCAATTGCTGAATGTTCTGCTTGGCCTGCGAGTAGTCCTTGAGCAGGCGCAGATGTTCCTCGAGCAGATTCATTTGACGCCAGCGCCACTCGCCGCTCAGCTCGCCCATGCCGGAGATCTCCTGCAGCAGCTCCTTCTCGCGCTGTATCCAAATGGAGAGCAGCTGCTGCGGCACTGCGCAGCACAGACGCGACTCCAGCAACGTCTCCAGCACACTGATGTCCGCGCCCAGCGACGAGTGCAGACGATACGAGTGCTGGCAGGGATTGACACAAACGCGCCCCACTCCGCACTGCTGGGGCACAAACAGGCGCACGCCCAGCTTCGGTGGCAGCGACTGAGTGCGACGATGTCCTAAGGCAGAGCAAAACTTGTGAAATCATCTGTCGGATCCATTAAATACTAACTCACCCTTTTGCCGCGAGCTTTTGCTGTTGCTGTTGCTGCTGCTGTTATCCGTGGCCTGCTGAAAGAACTGTGTGCTGGAGCGTGGCGGCGTTGGCTGCGTCAGCCCATTCGTTGTCCTTTCCGGGCCGCTGGCCGGGTTCAATTCGTTGGCAGCCTCCGGCGCCCAGGAGGCAAGCGTAATGAAGCCGCATTCACCGCGCGGCGAGCTCAACGGCAAGCGCAGCCGTGTCGCATCCTGTATAACGCCCAGCGCCACCTCGGCATGGCCCAGGGGCAACGAGGTCAGCGAGACCCGCTCCCGCACATCGTGCACGCTGAACCGCAGGCGTGTGGATGCCCTGAAGCCGGCGCTGCGCAGGAAGCGCATGGTGCACAGAAAATGTGGTGCACGTTCCCGCTCCAGCAGCTCGGTGCGCGCGTGCTGCCGCCAGAGGCAATCCTCGCCAGGCTGCAGCACCGAGCAGATGACACGCGGATTGGGCGGTCGTCCAAAGCTGTCCAATGGCAGATTATCACAGGAGATTGCCGTCTCGCAGATGGGCAGCTCCGAGAGCTCCAGATCTGCAACACGAACAGTAACAGAATGGTATGTGTGGAAATTAAAGCGATTTAGTTGTGGCATCTATTACAAATGCAAATTCTATGCTCTACGTTAAATAAGAACAACAACAATCAATTGATTACATTTTTATAAACAAAATAAAGTTTATTCTTCGAATAAAATTCATTTCTCTCTCTCTCTCTCTCTCTATATATATATATATATATATATATATATATTGCTTGCAAATTTGTAATTTTTCAAATGATAAAAGGAAGAAATTAGCTCAATCTTGCTTACAATCTATAAATTCATAATAGAGCCCAACCAAATATGCTCCAATGACACTTGCCTCAAATAGCTCAACAATTAATCAAGCTTTAAGCTTAAAGCTCACCAATCTACCGCCCCGCTTCACTGTTGCTAAGCTCATTTCTACATTTGTTTTGTATTTCAATAATTTATAATTTAAGTTCTCTCTCACTTTCAGCTCTTTAAACAATACACATAGTAAACAAAAATGATTGGGTTTCTATTGAGATCTCATTTGAATTCGTTTCACTTAAATTCGCAACAGCTAAGTTAGGAATAAGCTTTAAGCTTTAAGCTTTAGACTTGTACACTATTTTCCTTTAACTTTAATCCGTTTATCTAATTCAACTAAACAATTGCAACTGATTTTTTAGCTGAAACTAATATTTAAGCTTAAAGTCTGGCTGGTTGACTTTCAGCAAGTGTCATTATAGCATATTTTCTGCAATCTTTGGTTTCGTTTGATTGTGATTACATAACAGCCTGCTAGGAACTAAATATATATGTATAAGTATTGATGCAATTGTGGGATAGATGGGGAATAGTGTTGGTTAACTACACAACAAGTTTTAGATTTTTGTGTGTGTGTGTGTGTGTGTGTGTGTTGATTAACGCGTGTGCAACTGTGCATAGAGTATTGAAAATGAGGTATAAAAATTGAAGAAATTTGATTACAAACTAAATAATTGAAACTTTGACCATGGCTAATTTCTTTGGATTATTCGTGGTTAGTTGACGGGCAGCCAAAAAGGAAACAAAAAAGTAATTCAAAGAAACAAACAAACAATTTCCAACATTGGAGTCCAGCTTAGAACTGTATTAGATCACCTTCAAAGGGCGCCTCTACCGTTGCGCTTGATGCCGACGCCGGCCAGGAGTCGGGAAACATGCTAGCTGGCAACGGCAGACCCTGATCAATGCGATTGCCCATGACTATGCCAGTGCCGGTGCCGATGCCGATGACGGCGGCTGCCGTCCGCTTGGCCGCTGTGGCCGCCGCAATCTGTTCCTCCAGCTGTTTGATTTGCAAGTCGATCTGTTGATTAGAGCACGCCTCGATGCTGCGCACCCAGTCAAGACGATCCGCTGCACTGTGCGTGACGATCCGTTGCGAGGGGCTGTCCTTAAAGTCTATAATACAAATATTGTCTCGTGATTAGTTGGACAACTTATGGTGCGTCTGCTGTATGCTGGTGCTTACCTAAATCGAACACGTAGCCCTCCAGCTCGGGCTGCTCATGGTGTATGCGTGGGCGACAGTCCTGCAGCACCAGTACGCCAGCGACCGAGGATTTTGGATTCTTGTCCTTCAGATAGAACAGCAAATTCCCGCGCAGCTTGCACCAGCATTCCAGTTTAACTGTATTTGGAGGCGCAGGAGCGCAAGAGACAAATGGCAAAAGTGCATAAGCAAAAAGGTGATGGTGGAGGTGGCGGTGAGTGGGGTGAAGAGCGTGGAATAGCGACTGATCTATGGTGGGAAGTACCAGTGTGTATGTGGGTGTGCGTGAGTGTGTGTGTGTGTGTGTGTGTGGGTGATAAGCATAAAACAAAAGTAATAAATGGACAAGGAACCCGCAAGTGTAGCCAAAAATAAACATGTGGTATATGCGTGTGTGTGTGTGTGTGTGTGGGTAATTGTGGATCAAGACGCGCTTGCACTCACCATCGGTGCGCCAGAAAATGCCCTCCTGGCGCTCAGTTATAATCAGCAGACCCTCCTTGTCGAATCTGGTTGATGAATTGGTCGCCAAGCTAGCCAGCTCCGATCTATTAAAGCGCATGCTTAATGCCTAACTGGAAGCGATGCGTTCACAATGGGCAACTGGCGACGTTGTTAATTCTGGGCTTGTGTGCGGCGACAGCTGTTGGCAATTGTAATTGAGAAATTATGCGTTTGTTTATATCAAATAGCGGCTATTTAACGTATTTAATGGCAATAAGTGTTTATGTTCTCTGGAAAAACTCAAGGCTGACAGCGCAACACACACTTCGCACACGCACACGCACACGCACACACAATTTGATTTAATTATAAAAATGGCTTGCCTCAAGCCGTATCCAAATGCGGGCATCTAATGGGCGGAGCGGGCACACCTTATAATAACTGTTGTTGCACGTTTAATAATTCAATAAATAAGCTGCGAAAACGGCTAAGACGAAAACGTTGAAGAAGAAAGGAAGGGCCAGGGCCAGGGTGACGGCGAGGGCGAGGGCAAGGGCGCGGACGCGGGCATTGCATGTACTGGCAGGTGCCGCACGTTTATGTTATATGGAAGATGTACATACCTTCTCTTCACTTGGCAGCTTTGCTTCTCTGTCTCGCTCTCGCTCTCTCTCTCTCTCTCTCTCTCTCTGTCTAGCACACACACTCAAAGTAGCACAGCTGACGTTGACAACAGCATCCCTGGCTAAGCGGCGCTTCTGGACCAGCACAAAATTGCGTATACTTAGCACGTTGACCTGAACTTGGACAGCAGCCGTTTACAACAACAACTTTTGGCAATTGCACTGTTTTTGTTGACTGCACAGCTGGCGACGCTTCGATAGCGTTATCAACTGGCGTATGCATTGACAGCCGCACTCCTGTTATCGTTTTCCTGTCGTAATTGTTTTCGTTTTGAATTTGTACAATATATTCACATAATTGCTTTGAAGTATTGAAAATTTACAATTTTTGGTTTGGCATTCTTAAATCTTGTATTGATTGTTCTTTGAATTTATTCTGTGCATTGAATAAATTCAATGTTGATGTTAACACTCCTGTTAAGCCACTGTTATGGCCAGATGTTTGCTGACAGGGCTGGCGATTCCAACAATTTTTTTTTTAGTTCACGATTAAATAGCTCGATAGCAAAATTGTCACAGTTTCTCGTATTAAAATTGTGTGAAATGCATTGCTAATTATCTGATATTATTCGTACTGAAAACTGGAATTTTTATATAACAATTAATAAAAATTTATTTTGTATTACATTCATGTCGGCTAAAAGAAAACAATTTGCGAGTGGTGTATTCGCTTCGCAATAGTTATTCTCAAGATCGATTCATGCATCAAGCTCATTTAAAAACCAATTTAACCTAAGATATATTATATTGGTAGCCAACTTCGCAAATAGGAGATTTATATGTTAACTTCACAGTGCCATTTTAAGCTTAACATGATGTTAATTAACGGGTTTGTTATTAGAAGTAACGAATTGAGCAAGTTAGTAAAAATGCGGGGCTGTTAGATTTGTTCCTATATGATACAAATATAAATCAGCTTCTAAAGTTGCTATTACTTTATGTCGCTCAATTATTTTTCTTCGGTCTAACATAGTTTATATAGAAAATTAGAGGTATGTCTTGTATGTTTGTCTTAATGTGGACTTCAATAAGATCAGATTGATCGATCACATTGTTAGATTAATCGATAGTACTTGCATCACAGTAGATCAAGTTCTTACTCGCAGCCAACTTAACGCGACTGACGTATACGTTCGCAGCCAACTTAGCGCGCAAAACAGCTGTTCGTGTGGTGAATACGAATCGCCGATACTGTTTCACATTCGTAAAATGGCGTCGGAGGTAGCGGTTGAACAACAAGACCAAGAATTTGTAAGTGTACAAAATAAGAATTGTTGAACCAATTGGATAGATACATATATGCTAGTAACAAAATGACACACGCCCTAAAACAATGCAAAATGATGTGTGTAAATACAGCAGAGCAACAATAAACAACGACACGAATTGCGTGCGTGTTCTCAACTGTGCGTGTGTGTATGTGGCTGTGCGTGCACTCGTTTGTGTGTGCGTGTGTGTGTGTGTGTGAGAGTGTATTAAGCGTGTATTGCAATGTGTTTCATCAAAATCTGTTGCGGTGTTCGGCGATTGCAAAAAACTGTGTACATTATTAAATGTGTGTGTGTGTGAGTGTGAAATATGCTAGCACGTGCTATTTACAAATAAAAATCATAACAGCGGGGCCCACGATGCAAAGCAATACATTCCTTTACAGTCGCCCACTGTGCTATCGGTGTTATCAGACAATAACAACACAACCAAATGAAAAAAAAAAAACAAAAACAACTATCGTGGGGAAGTGGAAGCTAAAGTGTGCGTTTGTTGTGTGTGTTGTGTGTGTGTATGTGTTTGTGTGCTTGTATTGCTTTGCCTTGCGTGGTGTAGCAAGTGGTTGCAACAACAAACGCCACACGTTCATGCCGTTGCTCTTGCTCTCTCACTCTGTCACGCCGTGGTAAATCGTTGCTGTTATTATCGCTGTTAATATCTCGCTCGCGCTGCATTTAGTAGGGAAAGTGATTTCCGTTGGCTGCACTTTTGGTTGTTGTTGCTGCTCTTGCATTTTACACTGACTGTTAAGTTGATGAGCGCTCGCAAAACCAGTTTACAGTTACAGTGCAAATCAATAAAGATCTCTGGTCCTCTTGTCCCCCCCCTTTCACTCCCTGCACCCGCTCTCTAGCATGTGCTCAAAATAGACTTCCTCCAGCTGACGCAGAGTTCATTGTTTGCTTAATCGCATCAGCGACGAGCAGAGGCGCCAGTTATTGTAACTGGAATGGGCAGTGTTGCCGACCTTGCACGAAGCTGCTTGAAATTCCAATGCGCACACGATATTCACACCATAGCCACACACACATGCGCACACATGCGCACACATGCAGCCCTACCTGGTCCAGGGCAGGCAAACTTTTGTGTATTATTGATGCGCATTTTGTTTATATGTATGTATATTGTTTACTTATTTTCCGAAGGCGCCAATGCGTCCATTTAGGTTCTGTTCCATTGAAGTGCCTTCAATTTGATTCCGTTTCGCTGGAATTTTGTTGCTTTTATTTTGCCTTTTTTAATCTGCCCAATTTCAAAGTAAAATCTACGCAATTTTCCACTTATTTGCGAATTTGTTTAGAGCGCATTTCATTCATTCATTTATTCCCCACCGAATTTGTTTATCTATTCGCCTGCGTGTGTGTGTGTGTATACACTACCACACGCAGTGTATATGCACACATTTATTAAGTTTATCTTCAAGTTAAATGTTGATCTTTTGAAATACGTTTAGCATTTGCACTCGACAGGTTCGATTTATTCAAATATACATGCATATAATCCTATTGGAACTATCAGTTGAATCGTTCGTAATTTTTACACCCTGAACCCATTCAAAATGGGTAGATAGGGTATAATGTATTTGTGCAAATGTATGTGACAGGCAGAAGAAAGCATCTCCGACCCCATAAAGTATATATGTATATATTCTTGAGCAGCATCAGCAGTCGAGTCGATCTAGCCATGACCGTCCGTCCGTTCGTATGTATTAAGAGATTTTGGCTGTTTGTTTGTTGCCGATATTCGATAACTTGCCCCCTTTCCAAGTAATCGATAAAAATCGATATCGAATTTATGTTTTTATCGATAAAAATCGATATCGAATTTCTGTTTTTTGAGCAGTTTTGGCAAATAATAAGAGCTAGAGTCAGCAAACTGACATGTAGCTTTTAGAATAGTATATATATTTGCATTTGGTGTTGGAAGAAAAGGGTTCAGGGCATTCCCTAGTCGGGAGCTTCCGACTAGAACCACTTACTTGTTTTACTGCTGTTTTCACTCATATTTCGAAAAGTGTGAAATACATTTTCCCAAAGATTTTTGAGTATAATTTTGAACTAGAACAAGTTGCATACAACTGTTCTCATCTAGATGTCCAGAAGGCGCTTGACCCTTGGTTTCCATTTTTAAGGGAATGGGCTTAAAATAGTTCAATTGTTGTATATATATTGTTGTATATATATATATATATATATATATACAACAATATATATATATATATGTTTTAGAAGCTAAGTTCTGTTTCAGGGCTAGACGCAATGGTAAAGGGTATCTTTCGAGTCGAGCACTCTAAATTCCATTTTACTAATGTGACCAATTTAGAATAATCTTTTGTCAGGGCTGCAAGCCGCAAAAGTAGTCCAGCGACTGTTAAGAGTTAATGTTTTTTTAAAGCCGATTAACCAGGGCTTAGTTCAAGCTTTGGTCAAATCCAGGGCATAAATTCTCAGAAGAAAAGAAATGTGTTTCCCTTTTTTTATTAAAATTTGGAAAGCTCCGAACGTGAACCAGTTCGGTTGCCGAACACATTGAAATCGTTTTCTTTTCAGATATTAAAACAAAAAACAAATCATATTTTTGGTAAAATATTTCAATAATATGGCCGCACATATTACATCAAGTGGATTGTGTATAAGAGTTCAATAACAATATGAATCTGGCTATATGCACGCGTTGTATATGTATTTTGTTATTGCACAATTTGTGTATATTTTGTATGCATAATTGATTTCACTTGAACTGCAATTGCATGGCGTATTGTTGTGTTGCATGTTCGTTTGCTGAATAAATCAAATTGCTCATAAAAAGAGGCAAACAGCAGCCCCTAGCTGAGTGTGTGTGTGTGTGTGTGTGTGTTGGTGTTGTTATGAAATATTTGTGTCCCATTGCATTTACTCTGGTTGTTTATCCTTGTGCCCGGACTCTGAACCCCAATGCAGCCACACAATGGGGCAGCCAGAAAAAGTACAATAACCTTTTTGGCATCCAGGGTGAGGGTGTGCACAGCTAAGGGCTGTGATGGATGGCGGGGTGGTGGGGTGGCGGGTGTAATGCACTTTTTATACCCCGCAGCAAATAGTTTTATGGACTGACTGATTTTGTGCGAATGTATGCAACAGCCTAAGGAAAGCAAGGCATACATGCATGTGCATATATGGAAGGAGCTGAGCATGAGAAGTCTTTTGCATTCATTTGGATCGAAAACTATCGAGTCTTTGAAGCATATCTCAGACTAGAAATATATCACCCTCTGTTCGGAACGCGACTACCATAGTCAAATCGAGTGTATATTACGGCAGCTGAGAGCTGTTTACAGGGTATCTCTTCGTCTCTTTGAGCTAACTGTTTTGTTTGTTGTCAGCCTGTTGCTGCGACCACTTTTCATTTCGCTTGCCTTTTGCTGCGGCTTCTGACTGACTGACTGACTGACTGACTGACTGACTGACTGACTGACTGACTGACTGATTGACTGACTGACAGTGTGACTGACTGACTGACTGTTTTCCTCATTTGCGTTGATTAAGCCCTCGAGCTGCTTTCAGATAACAACAATAAGTTTTATGAAAGGCACAAATAAAATACATATTTCCATAGACTTCTATATACATTTAACAACATGAACTGCCTGACTGCCAAATACACTGTTCAGAGCGCAACAGTAGGTAAAAGGCAAAGAGTTTTAAGCTGAGACTATAGAAATTATTCTTAATTAACTTTATAAATTTACAGGAATGGAAAGTAATGCAAATGTTATTGCATCAGGGCTGCAAATCAGTTTTGAATCGAGTCGAGCATTCCAATTAATGTCTTACTATGAATCGAAGCAGTTGCCCGAAAAACAAAAGAACCAAACTAGAGTCTAACTAGATTTTTCTTCAAAACTTCAAATTCAAAACGTTTTATAAATATATAACAAATGAGGGTTTGAACTAGTTACGCGAAACGAACCTTAAGCTGGTTCAATGTCCGAACCGAAACCAGCGACAAAACATTTGTTTTTTTTATATGTAGCCCTTGCATGTCGAGCCAAATCCCATATACTCTGTTTCACTAAATGAACAGAGTATTAAAACAAAATGCGATGTGCAGCAAACACACACACACGTATGTTTGTATGTGTGTGTGTCTCTGTGTGTGTGTGTGTAGTTGAAAATGGGTCAGCACGCTGCGGCCGTCGCTATCACTAACACACACACACACACACACACACACACACACTGTAAAGACAGCAAAATGGAGCAGCAACCACCCGACCAAAGCCCAGGCTCCTCTGCCACCTCGCCCCTCTGCTCACGCCACTGTTGCTGGGCCTAAAACCCCAAGCCAAAATAGTGAAGCCCCATTCCGGGTCTGTCTGGGGGCTAAGACGCTGCGCTCAGCACTCAGCACTCAGCACTCGGCGCCCATTGCCCAGGGCCTAAATGCTTAGTCACTCCACCTAGACGAAGTATTCAAAAATAAACAAGCGAAATTGAGCCAAAATGCAAACATCGTGCACTACAACGAATACCGCAATACTCTACAGTTCGCACACAAATCGGGCATAGCAATTGATTAAGTCGCAGGCATTTCCCACAAACCCAAAGGCGAACAAGTAATATTCTGTATAGTACAGGAAATTCGTTAAATATTTGAATTTAACAGAATTTGAGTGAAAGTCGCGTTTGGCTCCATTATACGACTTGTTATTCGCTTTTTCAGAAACTGTATTCCTTTTCTAGGAAATCTATAAGAGCTTCCTTTGGTTATTTTTCATGACAGAACTGCCAACCCAAACAAAAAAAAGTCACTGGTTCGGTGCATGGTTTGAACCAATTCTCTTCCAGATTCCAGATTTTGATAAAAACTTGAAACAATTCAATTTTATTGTTGTACTTAAATTTATTGAATATTTTGTATATTATAAATAGCAGATTTTGGCTCGTTTGATTATTTTGACAAAACAGTTGACATAGCAAATGGACTTTTGATTGTGGTGGCAG